CGAAAAAGCGAACAATAGAGAGATTTTAGACAGTAGATATCAGTGAAGTTTTTAGCTATCCTAAAAATGAACCCTAAAGTTCTTGACGCCTTATCAACAACATATGCAATGTGTTGCTTGAATGAAAGCTGCGAATCCAAGATCACACCCAAGTCTTTCACCTGATTCACGCGTTCGATTGTCGTGCCAAGCAGGTCATAGCTATATATTATCGGTTGTTGTTTTTGGTTGAGAACGTAATAGCGGAGCATTCGGCTGGGTTCACTACCATTCTGTTTAACCTGCACCAACTAGCGAATACATTCAGTTGACGTTGAAGAAAGTGACAGTCAGCAATGGAGCAGATTCGTAGGAAGATTTTGAGGTCATCTGCATATGATAACCGAGGAGCTTCGATGACCAGATGCACGTCGTTGAAGTACAGTATAAAAATTAACGGTCCCATGTGGCTTCCCTGAGGTATACCTGATGTGGCGATGAAGCTAGCTGATCTGCAATCTCCTATGGCAACCTTTAGTTGCCGACTGGTAAGATATGATCGAAACCAACTCAGAAGATTACCGCATACACCGAGCATGCCGAGTTTAGCAATCGCAATAGCATGGTTCAACTTGTCGAATGCTGCGGATAGGTCTGAATAAATAACGTCCGTTTGAATCCGATCCGACATGCTTTCGGTTACATACGATGTGAGACACAGCAGATTGGTGGTGTAGAGCGGCCGACAGTTAACACATGTCAATCAGCACTCAAATACTGCTTGCAATGGGACAGCAACGGTTCCATAATCACTACACTAAGCTCTACACATCATTGGGACTATTTCTAGTCTGTTGATGCAACCATAACAAATAAACAAATAAACTAGCTCGAATAGCTTCGAAACGGCACTTAACGATGTAATTCCTCGATAGTTATCCACAGCTCGTTTCCTTCCAGCAAGATGGAAATATGCCACCTGAGAGAGACATTCGGAAGAGGCGAAGAAGCGGAATTAACAAGCTAGCAATATGTCTCTTCAAAAATACAGATGGAACTCCATCAGGTCCAGGATTGAAGGATGACTTGAGCAGAGTCGCGGTCTTAGAAATCATTTCTGCATTAACATCAATTGCACCCGGCGTTTGATCGTTTACTGGAACGTTCCTGGCAGCCAGGTTAATATGGTCGTCAGTTAGTATCTCATTAGTGAATACACTGGCAAACTTTTCGGAAAAAAGGTGGCATATATCCTGAACAGTGGCAGCAACTTCTCCGTTGAATTCCATAGACGATGGGAGGCCGGATTCCCTGCGTTGCTCGTTCACGTAGTTCCAAAAGAATTTCGGGTGTACCTTAAGTTTGCGCTGGATGTCTCGTTGGAAACTTGAAAAGCATTCACGACTGACTCGCTGGTACATGTGATTCAGCCTCACATAATGTACTTTCAGAGGAAGCATGCGATACTTCGTAAATCTTCTCAATGCTGCTCTCTTGATTGACTACAACCTACGTAGCTCTCTCGTCTGCCAGGGAGGGTGGTGAGTTCTTTTCGGGACGTGTCTGTCAATGACATATGCCAAGACATGTGAAAAGGTTTGCGCTGCAGCCTCAACGTCATCTGGATCAAGGATGTTCTCCCATACCATGCTAGACAATACATCTATGATGCTACGGTGGTCAGCTTTACGGAAGTCATAAGAAACCGTAGCAGGATAGTCGTCGAAATCACGCACGAGTTTGTGGAACTAGCTTAGTTAGTGCACAAGGAGCCGAGGAAATTGATGGAGCCCTGTCCTGTGTGCTCACGAAGCAGAGTTCCAAACTACGACCATTTTCGTTAACTAGGTACATGGTTAATTTGAGAAAGCGTCACTGCGCTGTAGTTGTCGAGAAGGCTAATAGCTCCTGCGTGAAATGTAGAGCTATCAGGATATGGGTACAGGAATCCGCTATGAGATGGACTCCACGAAACGCCTGGCAGATTGAAGTCACCAAAAAATGAATATCTTAATCAATATGAATCTTCCAGAAATCATCCCAGCGTGCTTAGCTACTAGGGACTGTCCATCTTTAGTAACATTTGATAACAACTGGTTGGTCCAATGAGCTCAAAGACTTGAAGAAGTTCGTCGTATTCACTAGGTGATCACTCGATCCAGAGTCAAGCTCCAAGCACCAGTCTTCCTGTTGGTCTTCGAACTTCTTCAGTTTGTCTCCGGCAAACGCAGTAGACTATGAATTCAGCATCCGATCGCTCCGCTTCGACTCTTCGTTGATTAATCGTGACTTCATCAGCTCGTATGTCATATCCTGCCTCGGAAGATTCTCTAGCGCCGTCACAAGCGGGTCGTAGGATTCCGGTTACGTCAACGATAGGGCTGAACAAATGTCACTCTATTTAACAGCCGATCCAGTCATTCGAAGTTGGTAGCGAGTCACTTTTTAGTGTTGGTCACTTTTTTCAAGCCAGTCACTAAAAAGTCTCTTTTTGTTAAGACCAAGTCACTAAAGTCACTTTTTTCTTTCAATCAGTCACTTTTTTCAGCGTGAATTTATTTCAAGATTGATCATTTTTTGCTTTGTGGCGTTTAATCGTCTTTCTCTATCTACAGGATGTCTATTCATTTTTCTAAATAAAATTACATGAGTCTTCCAGGTTTTTCCCGTACTTTAACGGATAAATTCCAGGTTTATAATAAAAATGTCATTTTTTTAAATGCTTGAAAAATATGCTTTTTTTTGTGGATCAAAAACAACAGCAATTTACCCAATCGTTTCTAAGACATGGCAATCAGTTTTAAAGAAACAGCTTTACAATCAAATCCATTGAATGTTGAAGTTTAACATTTACTTAATTTCTCACTTCATAAAGTTTAAAAAAAAAGAACTTAATTTGAGTAAGTCCAAGCTAAACATATTTCAGAAACTTCACAGAAGAACAGAGAATTTCAGGGAAATTTAAAGATGTTTACGAGAATTCCATTTATTTCCAAGCAGCAGAACCGAGATCTTCAATAGAATTGAGAGCTTGAGGGAAGCTTCGAAAACATCAATACAGATTAGAGAATCAAAGGGCAGTTCAAATAATTTCAAGGAAATTGTAGAAACCTTAAAGAAGTTGCGAGAAACTCATGGAATTTCCGGAAACTTCAGCAAAGTTCCGAGAGAATTTCTGGAACGTGATAAAAATTCTATGAACATCCGGAAAACGTGTGGAGATTTCAAGAACTTAAAAAACACGAAAATTTTGCTAAATTGATTAGAGGAAATCAACGAATTTCCATTAATTAAAAAAATGCGGGAACTTTTAGCAAGCAGTGATATCTTCAAGAAATTCCAGAGAACTTCTAATAAATTTAGATATTTTTAGATAGTTTCATGATATTCAGCGAAGTTCCGAGTACTTCAAGGACGAATCAGATAGCTTCAAAATAATCCCATTAACTTAAGCAAATTTGCAGATACTTACAAGGAGTTCCGTGGAATGATGGGGTAGCGTCTTAGCTTCATAAACAACATGGCAGAAAACAGCAATTTTGAATTAAGTAAGGATCTCGAGAGGCGACTCTGCATGTACACGAAATGTATAAGAACACTAGTGTCATCTAGAGAGAGAATTCCAAGCTAAGTTGTTCACAATTCTAAAGGTTTTAGCTTCATGAACAACTTTGTAGAATACAGCAAATTTGTATCTAGTAAGGATCTCGAGTGTCGACTCTGCATGTACACGAAATGTATAAGAACACTAGCGTCACCTAGCGAGAAAACTTCAAGCTAAGTTGTTCACAATTCCAAAGGTCTTAGCTTCATGAACAACTTTGCAGAATACAGCAACTTTGTATCTAGTAAGGATCGCGAGAGGCGACTCTGCATGTACACGAAATGTATAAGAACACTAGCGTCATCTAGAGAGAGAATTCCAAGCTAAGCTGTTCACAATTCAAAAGGTCTTAGCTTCATGAACAACTTTGAAGAATACAGCAAGTTTGTATCTAGTAAGGATCTCGAGAGTCGACTCTGCATGTACACGAAATGTATAAGAACACAAGTTCCATCTAGCGAGGCAATTCCGAACTAAACTGTCCACAATTCAGAAGGTCTTAGCTTCATGAACAACTTTGTAGAATACAGCAACTTTGTATCTAGTAAGGAACTCGAGTGTCGACTCTGCATGTACACGAAATGTATAAGAACACTAGCGGCACCTAGCGAGAGAACTTCAAGCTAAGTTGTCCACAATTCCAAAGGTCTTAGCTTCATGAACTACATGGCAGAAAACAGTAATTTTGTATCTACTAAGGATCTCAAGAGGCGACTCTGCATGGACATGAAATTCATAAGAACACTAGCGTCACCTAGCGAGAGAATTCCAAAATACGATGTCCATAAATTAAAAGTTCTTAGGTTCATGAACAACATGGCAGAAAACAACAACTTTGTATCTAGTAAGGATCTCGAGATGTCGACTCTGCATGTACACGAAATGTATAAGAACACAAGTTCCATCTAGCGAGGTAATTCCGAACTAAACTGTCCACAATTCAGAAGGTACTGACCTCCTGAACAACATGGCAGCTAACAGTAACTGTGTATATAGCCTGGACCATGAGATATTGCATGTACACAAATATTACATGATCGCTAGAGCTGCCTACGGAGAGAATTCTGAATTAAAAAATTAATTTTAGGGTTGTAATCCAATAAATATTGCAGAAGACCGCATCCTTCTATCTAACACAGATTACGAAAAGTTACGAAAACGCGGCACATACAAATTGTCTACGCGGAGGGAGGGAGGGGGTCAAGAATCCCAAAAAACTGTATACGTAGTTAATGAACAGCCCCCAATCTATTAATAGATCACTAGGCGCTAGAGGCTTCTGATCTATAAATACATCACTGGGCGTTAATGGGTTAAGAGAGTGCTATTTGAATCTCCAATAGTTCTGTGACTCCGGAAATCCATGTCCTTATATCGCCAGCATGTAGTAACCGTCCGTTCTTGTTTCTCCACATAGACCAGGCGATCGCGATCGCGATCGTGGCTACCGGGGAGACCGCGATCGGGAGATCACCCGTGGTGGTCCCGCCCGTGACGTACCGCGGGAAGATCGCGACCGGCGAGACAACGAGCGGCAGGTCGAGGTCCGGGATCGGGATCGTGAGCAGAAGCCGATCGAGGAGCGAATGCCAAAACTCCAGGAAACAACTGGACCTGTAAGTATCCCTCTCTCCCCATGCTCCTGTGAACTCGAGCGTAATGTCTCCCTCTCAACAGAACCTATCAATGAAAAACACCTTCGAGGGATTGTCGGCCGATGAAGTCGATGACTAGATTCAGGTGTGAGCGTGCGTTCCAATCAACTCATCCGGCCCGAAGGCCGAAGAAAGCCAGCCCAGCGCGGTTAAAATTCATAAACAGGACGAGAACAACTACTAGTATTCTATACAACTCTCGGGAAAGCGACACTGGAGTAGAACCATTTTTCGATTGGAACGGAAATTCTTTACAGGAGGAGAAAATATCAAAACAATAATAGACAGAAGACACAAGAGACGGAGACGCCGCATTGATTGCTGGTTTAACACACTCATACACATACACACACACACACATATACAATTTGGTGGTCGTTGATATAGGATTGATATAGTGCTTAGGACTCTTTTAAGACAATGCTGCCGTTAGTTAGAAGTTGGCAGGGCGATGAAAGTGCTTGGCAATGGGAAGGAGCTTTAGGTCGATCGATTGGAGCATTTTCATCGCCCGGTCAATTTCAGCATACCGAATCCGCGGAGGACGGAGACGGGCAGTGGGCAATTATTACACATGGGTGGGCCCGTGGGGGTAGATCAAAGTCTGTAAAATATTCTATTCGATGTGTAAAATGTACTATTCGACTATCTTCGCGGTGTTAAGAAGTAGTAGTATGATGATGCAAGCCGGTGTTGATGATGTTTGTATGAATGTGGTGAATGTATAGACTTTTTTTTTTTAAGAAAAAGAAGCTATAATCGGAGTTTGATTCTTTGCACGCATTATCTGTAGGCATGTGCTAAAAAGTCGTTGACGAAGGAAGGAGAGAAACGAAAAGGAGTTTAGACAGCATTCACATTTTGATAAGACAATTTTACACACATTACAGCAGCACGGAAGCGAGCAATATGATAACCCAATACTCGTTCACTACGAAAGTATGATTAATATATAAACTTTAAAACAATACGATGTAAAAGCCACTTTTGAGCGTCTGCCGTGGGCGTCCCGCGATCCCGCAATGACTTTGACCTTCGACTTCAATTTTTTTTTTATTAGTTTTGTTCGTTGATTTCCTTCGGTGTGTGCGTCTCGGTGTAACCTAGAATACAATGCGTGTGACTATTATACATAGAAAAGAGTGTGTTGATCATAAATGAAAAACGGAAAAAGGTGTGAAGAAATGATTCCAATATGTGCTGATGATATGTTTATTTCTTTTCGGTAACGATTTTCCTGTTTGTTTGAAATATTGTTTTTCTATATAGGAATGTATAACATTTATATATGCGTATTTTTCTCTTTTGAGTTTAAACCCGCAATAAGCTGCTGCGAACCATCATTAGTGGGGATGAAATTGCTTAGTTATAAAACAATTATACGCTGAAGTTAGAAACGCGCTATTAATAGGGTCAGGTATAGCCAAGGAGAATATCTTTAACGACTCTTACAAACAATACAATACCTACACACACACACATACACATCAAAAACTGCGCTGCGTTTCTTTATACACAGAAGCAAGACGTGTTTGTGCGCTCATAGATAATCAAGGAGAAAAAAATGAAAATAGTTAATTTACTTGTTTAAGGAACATGTGGGTGAAATAGTGTTGAACCACACCCACACCCCTTGTTGTAATGTCTGCTGCTTTTTAATTATATTGATGCTGATTTTCCGTTTTGGACGGCGCAGAATGGAATTATTTAATTTACAATTACACGTACATATAGACAACCGCAGGAAAATACTGAAAAGCAAATTCAGAATACAACATAACTAAGGAAAGAAGCGCTGTCAGTCTACTGTTTGACGTGTGCTGATATCACACTCCCTTGCACTGCACTGGTCGGCTTGACGTACCGCAAAGACTCAGTAAGGGATCCCAAGCTGGCCATTAACCGTTATTTGTATCACTTAAATAATCAGGTATAGTAACATATTCCATTGGCATAGGTTGACATAGCCATGGGTCCTGATGTTAAGAATTATTTTTATATTATAGTTCGAAGACGCACATTTTTGGGAGTTATCCTCTCGGTGTTGCTGTAGCTGTCAAAAATCAATGTAGGGAGGACATTTTCGCCATGCCGTTCAACAATGGTCATGTGATAGACAGTAACAGGACAAGCATCATTGCTCTATTAAATCACCTGTTAAGGTAAGTGTCCACAATCGTTTACTTGTTTTCGAAACAGTAAACAAATGTTTGGTAATATCGCATCGAAAACGATGCGCTTCACCCATGTTAATTTTGTTAGTTTTTCATGGAGTACGATGCGTAGATAGCTAACATTTGTTTCCACCGCAGTACCTATTACTGAATGTAATGAAAATGTTGCACGATTGCATTTTGCAATCGATTTGAATTAAAGTTGGTGCACAGATTAAATGTGAGGTTACGCGACGCCCTGGAATATTCTTAATAAGTTCTGAGAATAACTTTTACATAGCTCTGATACATATTTTTTTTACATAATGCGTTTATTTTTCCAGGCTTATTTGCTGTAGCTTTGCGGAGCCGATATTCATTGTTTAGATAACAAAATTACTTAAAACTAACGTTAGTAAAGCCGGGGGCCGATTACTCGCGGCTATCTCGAGGTTAGGGGTAAAAATTGTAACAATTGGAAGGCAGGGTAGGGATTGAGAACATAAGGTTTGGAGAGCAATGTGCTCTTGATCTCGAACTAAGCGACATACTGATGAAAAAGACAAACATGGGGGTACACCGATGGGCAGCTAACAACTTGGAAGAACACAAGATGACACAAACGACTAAATCCTCAGATCTAAATTCAGATAGTCGAAATCTCGGCTAGCCAAGACATCTCTAACGGGTATCTCGGGTTGTTTTCCTCGGGCCCTGAGGGATATGGGTAACTCAGATCTGACAACACGATGTAGGATACATGACCAAACAACATGCTCGATATCATGATAACCACTGCCACACGCACATAAATTGCTGCCTGAGAGCCCAATTCGATTGAAGTGCGAGGCTAACGAACAGTGATTGGACAAAAGCGTTGACATAACGCTTATAAAGTCACGGCTCATGTCCAACCCTTTGAACCATGGTTTGTTCGACACATGTGGGAGAATAGAATATAACCATCTTCCCAAATCACCATCATTCCATTTTTGTTGCCAACTGATGAGGACTTGCTGACGAGCAATGGAGAAAAATTCGTTGAAGGCAATTTGTCGTTCAAAAATATCGCCTTCCATAGCGCCCACCTTAGCCAGCGAGTCCGCTTTCTCATTACCCGGAATTGAGCAATGACATGGGACCCAAGCTAAGGTGATAGTATAGGAGCAGTTGGATAAAGCACTCAGTTTAAATCGTATTTCAGGCAGGAAATACGAGAAGTGCTTCAATGAGCTTAGACTAACCGTAAAAATGAAACCATGGTCAGAAGGTAGTGAGGCAATTGGTGAGGCAATTCGCTGGAGACCTTAGGCCAACCATCTACTGTCTCTGAAACCTTTACAATTGTTACATAAACCATCAGAGAAAGACATTGAACTGATTTAACGGCAACGACTTTTAGCGCAAAACAACGGACACGAATTGGATCATGGAATGTATTGACGTTAGCCCAGCAGGGTAAACTGGCACAACTCGCCAACGAGGCGCGACGCATGAAGCTAGAAATCCTGAGACTGAGTGAAGTTCGTTGGCCAAACTTTGGAGAACACAAACTGCCGTCGGGACAGGTACTACTATACTCTGGTATCCGAGGTGAAAACGCTCCCCGCCATCGTGGAGTTGGTCTCCTACTTAGCGTCCAGGCAAGTGCTGCGCTCATCAAGTGGGAGCCTGTTAATGAGAGGATAATCGTTGCCAGATTTAGAACACGGGTTCGTAACCTTACCATAATCCAATGTTATACGCCAACCGATGCTGCCGAGCTACAGGACAAGGAGAATTTTTACAGTCAACTGAATGCCGTCGTGGATAAGGTTCCATAGGGTGACATCAAGATCTAAACTGGCGACTTCAATGCGAAGATCGGCTCCGACAACACGGACTATGAGCGTGTCATGGGACGCCATGGTCTCGGCGAAATGAGCGAGAACGGTGAGCTGTTTGCAGAATTTTGTGGCAATAACGACATGGTGATCGGGGCTCGCTCTTCCTCCATCGGCCAGTGCACAAAGTCACGTGGGTTTCCCGTGATGGACATACCGAAAATCAGATCGACCACATCTGCATCAGCCAAAAATGGAGACGGAGCCTTCTTGAGGTCCGGAATAAACGCAGCGCCGACATCGCGTCTGACCATCACCTTCTAATCGGCGAAATCCGCCTACGCATGGCGCGGATCCAGCGACGGGAGGAGAGACTCGGGCGGCGGTTCGACACACGCCGACTTGAAGATCCAGCGGTTAAAGGTCTTTTGTTGAAGAAACTGAGACTCGAGCTGCGGACGTTCCAGAAGGTGGCAGCGTAGAAGAACAATGGATGGCCATTAGACTGATGCAAAATTTGAAATTTTCGCTCTACAGTGCTCAAACGGTTTCAAATCAGGTGCTGATTAGCCTCCCAAAATTTAAACTCATTTGGTAAGAAACTGACTTGGCACAAAATATTCGAAGTTTGTACGGAAATTACTATGGGAAAACCAAACTTTTTGTTAATTGTCTTCTACCCATTTTCCATTTTGTTTTTTCGAAAATTTCTATAACCAAACTTTTTGTCCATTGTCTTCTACCCATTTTCCATTTTGTTTTTTCGAAAATATATTATTAATAATTGTTTAAGAGATTGATAATCTTATGGCATGATCAAGCAGCTGTTCTGTGGGCAACACTGTATTCTGCAGTGTGACATAGTAGCCATGATATTTGTGCTCTATTCTTCAGACCAGAAACACCAATGTTGCCTGCTGAACAGTTGAATGAGCATAATCATAAGACATCAGTGACTTGGATCATTTATAACGTTTGTTCCTTACATTTGATTGAAAAGTAGTTTTCAACAAAGTTGTAGCTGAGAAAATTTGCTACAATCACTGCTATCATTTTTAAAAGCATAGTGATGTGGTGAATTGTTTGATAGATATGAACAAAAATATAAGTTTTCTCATAGTAATTCCCATAGCAACTTGAAATGGTTTGTGCCAAGTCAGTTTCTTACTAAAGTAGTTCAAATTTTGGGAGGCTAAGCAGGACCCAAATTGGAACCGCACCCAGAGGAAAGAGTGGATCACAGATGAAATACGGCGGAAGATTGAGGAGCGTAGAGAAGCAAAAGCCGCGATAGAGCGGGAGCCAAGAACGAAGCCCGTCAACGGTACTCGGCTCTAGAGAAGGAAGTCAAGCGCTCTTGCACGCATGACAAGCGAGCGTGGGTGAACTCCCTGGCCGACGAAGGGGAGAAAGCCGCAAACACTGGCGATATACGCCTCCTCTACGATATCTCACGACGCCTGAGTGGAGCAAGGATGAACCCGAGGATGCCATTTAAGGACACGACTGGACAATTGCTTACCGACCCCACTGACCAGCTGAAACGCTGGTTTGAGCACTTCGAACAACTTCTTCAAGTTTCGACGGCCAACCAGCCATCAACATCTCGGCATGATCCGCCTAGGGTGCGGCGCATCACTCGCGTCAATTCCGAGGCCCCATCACTGCAGGAGATTGAAGCAGCTATCCGAAGCATGAAATCCAACAAGGCTCCAGGGGTCGATCGCATATCAGCAGAGATGCTCAAAGCTGACCCCATGCTATCCACACAAATGTTGCATCAACTATTCTGTAATATCTGGGACACCGCAACTTTTCCGGCCGACTGGATGCAGGGCATCTTAGTGAAGGTCCCAAATAAGGGGGATCTGACTGTGTGCGACAATTGGCGAGGCATCATGTTACTGTGTATTGTTCTCGAAGTTCTGTGCAAAGTTATCCTGAATCGGATACAGGAGAAGATCGACGCGACTCTCCGACGGCAGCAGGCAGGATTTCGTGCCGGAAGATCTTGTGTGGACCATATTGTCACGCTCCGCATCATCCTGGAGCAGGTCAATGAATTCCAAGAGTCCCTTTATTTGGTATTCATTGACTACGAAAAAGCTTTCGACCGTCTCAATCACGAGAATCTGTGGGGCGCCCTGAGACCCAAGGGAGTTCCGGATAAAATCGTCAACCTCATCGAAGCGCAGTATGAGGCTTTCACGTGCAGAGTTCTGCATAACGGAGCCTTTTCCGACCCTATCCGGGTAGTCGCTGGTGTGAGACAAGGATGTATACTATCACCGCTACTGTTTCTCATCGTAATCGACGAGATCATGGTAAGTGCAATTGACCGTGTACCGAACCGTGGGCTGCTTTGCCAGCCTATCACCATGGAGCATCTCAACGACTTCGATTTGGCTGATGATGTTGCTCTACTAGCACAACGGCGCTCTGATATGCAGAGTAAGCTCAATGACCTAGCCGAACGCAACTCTGCGGCGGGTCTCACCATCAACGTCAACAAGACCAAATCGTTGGATATCAACACGGGCAACCCTTCCAACTTTACGGTAGCGGGCAAGCAGTGGAGAATGTCGAAAGTTTCCAATATCTTGGCAGCCAAATAGCGTCGGACGGCGGGACCAAGAGCGACATAGGTGCACGAATCAAGAAGGCTAGGACTGCCTTTGCGAGTTTACGAAACGTATGGAGATCCAAGCAGATAAGTCAACGCACCAAAATCCGAATTTTCAACTCGAACGTGAAATCTGTGTTGTTATACGCCAGCGCGACGTGGTGTGTATCAGCGAAGAACACTCAAAAGCTGC